AGAGAGAAAAAGAATGCACAAAAGAGCTGGAAATTATTGGAATTTACTCCATCACCACACATGGCAACCAGTTTATGACTTGGTAGCAAAGCCCTAGGGAGCTACCTGAGACTACAGGTATGTTAAGTGACTTGTCCAGGGTCACACAGCTAGTAAGTGTCAGAGGCTGAATTTGAATCCAGCTCCTTTGAGTCAAAACCCAGCGTAACCTTTCCATTGTACATCACTTCAACCTTCATCACTTACTCATACACAACCCAGCATATTTTTGCCAAACTTCCCTGTTTTTCTTTTCCCTCTTTTCTTCACCCTCCTCTTCAGAAAGAAATCTCCGTTGGGTTTGCATTGGCAGGAGAGATTTAAACAGATGGAGTTTCTTCTAAATCTTTGATATCCTTAAACTCTGACCTGGGTTGCATAGGAAAAAGTCACCCTTCAGCGCATGGCCAATGTACAAGGAGTGTACATAGGTTTGCTTATAAAAAGAAAGAAAGAAGAAAAAAAGCACCTACTATAAAGTCCCAGTTCTGAGAATGGAAACATTTTCACCCTGTTTTTAAAAGAAAAAATAAAAGGGATTGGATTACATGAACTATTTGGAAACCATTTAGTGGGGCAGTATAATTTTTATTTTCTGAAGCTTATGGCCCTACCCTACCCTAGAATCATGCTCCTAAGAAAACAGGTGGGGGAAGGGAATCCCAGCCAAATTTCATCTAAAGGGAAATAAGAGTAATTCCCTCTGTGTGCCCAGCTATAACTTCAGAGACACTGGGTAAGATGAGTGACCTTGGCTGTCCTTGACCAATTCGGGGGAATTTAAGCAAAAAGTTGCTTCCTAAATTAGGAGCATCTAGGTGGTGCAGTGGATAAAGCACCAGGCCTGGAGTCAGGAGGACTTGAGTTCAAATCTGTCCTCAGACACTTCCTAGCTGTGTGACCCTGGGCAGGTCACTTCACACTGTTTGCCTCAGTTTTCTCATCTAGGGAAATGGCAAGCCACTCCAGCATCTTTGCTAAGAAAACCCCAAATGGGGTTACAAAGAGTCGGACAGGACTGAAATGACTGAACAGCAGAAAGACCCATCACCTCTCACCTTCCATCCCAGGCTTATCTGCCTGTCAACCAAGCAATCTGTCACTAAGTATTTATTAGGAACCTTTTCTTTGTTAGACACTGTTCTAGGTGCTGGGGATACAAAGACAAAGAATGAAATAATTAATTATAATGACTATATTCATAATAATACTAACAACAATAGCTAAATGTATTTAGGTACACATATTTTTTCTTGATTTTATGGTAGGTATAAGCAGTCTATAGAATATCACTCTTTACACCTTTGTGGCCTTGGGCAAGTCACTTGGCTCAGTTTCCCCATCTGTAAAATGAAGGACTTAGCCTGGATAACCTCAGAAGTTCCTTTCAGCTCAAGATCTGTGATCCCAAGACTAATAATAATAATACAAAGAGCAACATGGAAATATTAATAACACAAATAAAATAATTAAACCTAAATTTGTCAGCTGTTTCAGGCTGACATAGTGCCTCACAATGACCCTCTAAGGTGGATACCAAAGTCCTCATCCCCATTTTTAATAAATAATGTGAGAGAGGAAGATGAGCATGTTTTTCTTTCTATCACTAGTGAAATAAAATGGTATATTAAGATTGACAAAATTTCTAGGGTAAATTATCTGGTTCATTGTGAAAAGTCTGTTTTTGCAGGCGGCCTTTTCTCTGAGCCCTGTCTGGACAAACTGAGATTTAGCTGGGAATGCTGAGACGATGTTCAAGGGACCGTGGGCAGCTCTTTGCCATCACCACTGAGAACCAGGGAGGACGTGGGCTAATGTTACATACAACAACAAGAAGAAGAAATGGGGAGGAAATGAAGGGGGCTTCCCTGAAGAACAGATTTCATAATTATCTGGCACCAGGAGCCAGAGGAGGCTTGGGTCAATTAGCGATAGCTGTTGTAAGCGTTTTACAGATCTCAGTTCAATTGATGAAGAACCCTGGAATGGAGGTACTGCATTTGACAAAAGAAGAAATTGAAACTCGGGTCAAATGTTGATTTATGCCATAACCATTGTTTTCCTGACAGTATGAAGTGAGAGCCCTTTGGGGGAAGGGGCAGCGATTGGGGAAAGGGGAAGAATTATGAGCATGGACGATCGGTTTCTGTTTCGAGAATCTGCTAGAATTCTGTGGCTCTGTGTGAATCCTTTGACAAATCAGCTGAATTCCCCATTCCCCTGCCCTAAAGGCTGTAAATTTCATCCACATTTCACCAGGGTTGTCGTTTAGAATTACACAGAGAAGACATGGCGACAGGGTGTGCATGGGACGGCTTAGAGGTGTGTAGGAACTGCCCCCCCAGTCTGGTTGGACCGACTCTGAGTTTGTGTTTTCAGGTTTAGGAGCTAACCAGAGCTGGGATTTGGGTTGATGCTGTTGTTCCTTTCGGTTTGTTTTAATTTTCCACTTCCTAATTATTCTGGTTACACAGCCGGCTGCAACAGCTTCCCTTTTAGGGAACAGCGCTCTAGAGCTCAAAACCCCTGGGGGACCAGAGCTAGCCCTTCTCTGAGCGAGAGACTTCTAGGAAGTTCCTGATGTCATTCTTGGCCAAGTCTGAGCAGGATGTGGATGGATCTGTTCCTAGCAAGAGGGGCTGGAGAGGTATAGCATTATACCCAGTCCCTGGCCCAACCGAGACGGGATTGAGCCAATGCACAATGGCAGAGCTGATGCGGAGCAGACCAGGGAGATGTGGACCAAGAGCAGGGCAGGCTTGAAGCTGCACTTCCACTGAACCCTCAAAGCTGGGGAAACAAAAGTTCTACCAGGGGTTATGTAGGAAGGCGGTTCCTTGGTAGGAGATAGAGGAAGGATGAAGATGTGGTTATTGCACAAGAGGTAGGGAAGCGCCTCAAGGTTCCCATAGAGGCAGGATATGAGACTAGGGCCTCAAGGAGGCTTGGGTATTTATCATAGCAGCGGCCCATTAAAATGTTTAGAATGCATTACTCAGATGCCTGGATTCTCTAGTGGTTCAAGAGAATCTTGGATATCATTGGGGGTACTCAGTGGTCCCTGGGTCCTGAGATTTCCAAACCCATCTTGGCAATATTCCAGGAAATCTCCTGCTCTCTCAAAAAGTGGTGTGGATTTAAAAAAAAAACTGTAGTGAATTTTTAAAAATAATGGTGTACCTTCTAGAATCTTTGGGCAGAGGGGTAGAGGCAAAAGTGGCATGGATTATACAGAGGGAGAAGACTCTGTTCTAGTTATCTATGTGGCCAAAACTCTTAAGCATCCACTGGTCATCTTAATCCAGGCTCACGTTACATTTTCCTCATTTAGCAAGGTACCACGCTGGATGCTCGAGGACAGGTTCCTCTCAGGCATCAATGTGTATGCCTTTGGGTCATCCAAATAAAAATCAGAACTGCCCAGTGGCCTTTTCCAAGGCCTTTTGTAGTGTTTATCTCCTCCCTTCCTGGCATGGAGAGGAGAGCAGAAGGTTTGGGAAATCCTGCAGACACGAAGGGAAATGACCCTTGGGGGTTTGCGGGATGGAAGCTAATGTCTGCTTCTGCTTGCATCACCAAAGTATGGTCCCAAAGAGGGGGCCTTGTTTCCTTTGACTCATTGCTCCATAAGTATCAATCAGTCAGTCAACTAGCACAACTCTGTGCCACCCGTTGAGGGTACAAATAGAAAGGAAGAAACCATCTCCACTTGCAATGAGCTTATAATGTAATCTTATGGGGAGACAATAGATTCATATAAAAATATACTAAAAGCAATTGCCAGTGTTGGTTTAAATGTGTCAGCCCCATAGCTGATGGCCTCATTCACTTCAGGAAACATTTATTAAGCACCTACTGTGTGCTGGGTGCCATGCTAGGCCTTGGAGATATAATAGGCAGTTAAGCGATCAGCAAGCATTTATTTAAGCCTATGTGTTAGGCACTATGCTAGATACTAAGGATGCAAAGACATAAGCGAATCAGTTCTTGCCCTCAGGGAGCTTCTGCTGGAAGGAAGCAACATGTAAAAAGACAAGAAAATAACAAATATAGTGTGAACAAGAACTGGAGGTGTCAGGAAAGGCATCTTGTGGAAAGTGGCCTTTGAGTTGAATCTCGAAAGGAGATGGAAGCAGGGACAGCTAGGTGGTGTAGTAGATAGAGAGTCAGGAGGATCTGAGTTCAAATCTGGCCCCAGACACTTGACACTAGCTGTGTGACCCTGGGCAAGTCACTTAACCCCAATTGCTTCAAAAAAATAAATTATAATAAAGAGATAGGAGATGGAAGTAAGCAGGGAAAGTATTTTAGGGAAAGGCACAGATAGGAAATCGAATGGCAGGTATGGAGAATAGTGTGTAGAGAGTCAATAGCTCCTCAGTACTCTGCCCTAGTAGGCTACCCCTGAAGGGCTATGTCCAGTTCTAAACACTCCCCCTTCCCATTAGACCACAAACGCCTTGAATATAGGGACTGTGGTTTTGCCTGTGTATCATTAGTGCTTAGCACAGTGCCTGGCCCATAGTAAGCTCTTAATAAATGCTTGTTGGACGAATGAATGATGAGAAGACTAGGGGCAGACGTGATAGTTGTCTTCAGATATTTAAAGGGCTGTCACATGGAAGAGACATTAGACTCACTCTGCTCATCGCCGTCGGACAGAATTAGGAACAATGGTTGGAAATTGAGAAGAAGCACATTTAAAGGGAGCATGAGTCAACAGTTAGCACCATCCTGGCATAGAACAGGCAGCCTTGAGAAGTAGAGAATTTCCCCTCACTACATGGCGGCTGGATGACTGTTTGTTGGGTACATCATCAAGGAGATTTACGGAGGCGTGTGCTCACCTTGTTCACCTTAGAGGTCTCGCTGGGCACTAAGATGCTGTACCTTGGGTTCTTGGCTCCCTGTCCCTTTCCTTCCCCCCAGTTTGTAACCATCCCACTTCATTTCCTCCCTAGGTGTCCTCTCCCTGCCTGCCTACTTCAGCCCTTACAATGATGGCTCCATGGGCAATGATGAGCGAGCCGATGCCTACGCCCAACTGGAGCTCCGGACGTTAGAGCAGTCCTTGCTGGCAACCTGCGTTGGGAGCATCTCTGAACTGAGTGAGTTCCATGTTTCCTGGTGAGCGTGATTGTAAGGGGGGAGAGGGACAGAAACTGGAAAATGGCCTTCTTTTTCTCTTCCTCTTCCTTCTTTACTTCCCCCTGGCCTAAGGAATATTTTCCACTGAATCATCACCATTCCAGCAGCAAAGCCAAAACAGTGAAGATTTGGGAGGTGGTGAAACATAGCTCCCACTCATCCTTGTCCCACTTAATTGAGAAATGTCTACGTATAAATCATCTCCCTGTCTCTGTGTGAATTCACCCCGATGATATCATTAGGGCAGCTAAGGATTGGGGAAATAGTGGATGGGTGTGCTCAGGGCACATAGAAATAATCAACGAAGTGGTATGGAGGCAGGTCCTTTCCATTGCCCTCTCCATCAGGTTGGGTTGCTGGTCTACAAGCTTGTGACAGATTCCTGGCCTTGAGCTCTGTGGTTCTTCAGTGTTTAACTTTCTCTCCTCTCCTTTCTTCTCTCTTCTCTCTCTCTTCTTTCTCTCTCTTTTCTCTCTTTCTCTTCTCCTCTCTGTCTGTCTCTCTCTCTCTGTCTCTCTCTGTCTCTCTCTCTCTCTGACTCTCTCCCTCTCCCTCTCCCTCTCTCTCTTCTTTCTTCCCCCTTCCCTGAGAAAGAAAATGAATTCATTCAAGGTCATATACTAATAGCAGGTCTGGAGCAAAAATCCGGTCTCCCAGCTCGGATGGCCCTAGCTGTGATAAACAATGGGAGGAATAGGGACCAGCAGGTTATAGAGTCTCCAATGTTGGGATTCCAGCAAGGGATTCCTTTCCATCGTGACCTTTGTCAACAACAAATATTTACCCACCAGTGGCGCCACCAATCCCAGTCAACAGCCTGTCTGGGAGTTCTCGGGGATGGGCTGTGGCACTTGGCACCTACTGCCTAAAAGTGCTCAGTAGTAGTAATGATAATGATCACTCACATTTAGACTGTTGTTGTTTGTCCTTCGTTTTCAAAAATGACTGATGACATTACCCAACTCTCACATTTAGATAGCGCTTGAGAGGCAAATAGTGACAGTGGACTATATGTGTTTGTCCATAGCTGTTTGCTTGCTGTCTCTCCCATCAGATTGTTCGCTCCTTGAGGCAGGAACTGGCTTTTGCCTCTCTTTGTATCCTCAGCACTTAGCACAGTGCCTGGAACATAGTAGGCGCTTACCATTTATTGACTAAATGACATAGATTCAATCTGGCTTCTGACTCCCACTAACCACGTGACCCTGGACAAATCATCTAACCTCTCTCAGCCCCAGTTTCCTTATCAGTACTTACTTGTCTCATAGAGACAGTTTGGCTTAGCAGATTAATTACAGAGAATTAATTAATTATTCAGATTAATTAGCAGAGAATTGGCTTCAGAGTCAGGAAGATATGGATTCAAATTTCACCTCAGATGAATATAGCAGGGTAACTCTGGGCAAGTAATTGAACCTCTCAGTGCCCTCCAATCAATGCTGCAGAACTATAAGTTTCAGAATAAGTGTTGATCTACATTGCAAAAGGGAGTTCCTCACTGGGAGCTCCCTATCCCAATTAAATCCTAGAGCCAATCAAAAATAAAAATAAAGAAGGACTTGTCTCACAAAGTTGTTGTGAGAATCAAATGACGTCCTATATGGAAAGTACTTTGAAAACCTTAGGGTGCTATCTAAATATTTGTTATTAATAGTTATATTAATTAATTGTATTAGAGATAGATTTATTAATACAACAAATGTTAGCTGCTACTATTATTGTTGTTGTTGTTACATTTTGCAGATGTGCAAACAGCTTGTGTAGGTTGATTTCCCCAAACCACACAGCAAGTCTAGTCTAGTCTGAGTCTAGATGCATACCTAGGTCTTTTTATTGCAGTCCCAAGCAGCTTTCCACTACATTACCCTGCCTGTCCTTTGCACGTACCTGCAGACAGCCCTGCCCCATGAATGCTGCATGATCTAGGCACTGGCATTCTCTGGGTCACTGTGATCTGGGATGGAATCAAACATAATTCCTTCTCCTTCTGTGCAGCTGCCATACCCATGGCATTCGTGGGGAAAAGGGCCCATGGGAAAGGAGGGTCTGGCTTCCATTGGCTTTCCCAGTGGTTTTGATGTACCTCTATCATTCTATCACCCCCTCCTGACAGTTTTTACCACTTGTCTTTTGTGGAATCCTTGGTATCTGCCCACCTGCCATGCTACAACTCACCTAGACGTGCCTAAGCTGACTAGCCCAGTGGTCAGCCAGAAGACAGACTGGCACCACCTGCTGACCTTTCCTTTACCAACCAACCCTCATTAGCCCCTTACCTGGTTCCCAACAGGCCCACTGTTAACTCAATGCCAACTTCCATATACATATCTCTTGTAGAACCCTGCTCCACTCTGACCCTTGGACCCATTATCTTCTTGATTTTTGTTTTTTTGTTTTTATTTTGTTTTTGTTTTTTGGCTAGGCAATGGGGTTAAGTGACTTGCCAGGGGTCACATAGCTAGTGCATGTTATGTATCTGAGGTCAGATTTGAACTCAGGTCCTCCTGACTCCAGGGCCGACACTCTATCCACTGCGCCACCTAGCTGCCCCCACTATCTTCTTGGTAAGGGACCACCTACGTCCTTCATTATTCTCTAAGGTCCTTGGGGCCTTGCCCTCTACCCTGCTGTTTTTCCTACCTAAATGCCTCCCTGGTCATTCCATCTGTAGTAATCTGCACAGGAGCCCTGCTTTCTGGGTATGTGTAGAATCCTCCAATTAGAGTGTAAGCTTCTCAAGAATAGGAACTCTTGATTTTCTCTTTCTGTCTCCAGCACTTAACACAATATTTGGCACTTCCTAAGCACCTGGTAAATGCTTTTCCATTATGCTGCAGCCATCCTGACTCATCATAGGCAGCAGAGAAGGCTCTTTGATGTGGTAGATTGCTCTGACCATCCCTCTTCCCCCACCCCCCACCCAAAGCCTGGATCCATCTGACACCCCCCCAACCCCCGGCCTGTCCCAGCCAGGAGGAGGAGGTGGTACCAGGAGATACGCCTCAATGAGAGCAGGCCTCCGAGAGACAAAGAACAGAATGAGGCCAATGATACTTGGCTCTTTGCTAACAGCTGGTCCCTAAATGCACCCATGAAGGCTTTGACATTCATTAGCTCCCTGAATGTCTGCACCTTATAGAGCCTGCCAGACAGGTTGAGAAGTATCGGTCTGTATGGACCCAACTGCAGAGGAAGCTTGGAAAGCTGCTTTGTTCTTCGCCCCTCCCCACCTGGGAAAACTTGACAAGATGGAGAGGGGGAGGGGAAGAGAAGAAAAAGGAAAAAAAAAAACTTCTCCCTAGCAATCAGGATGAAGGAGGACTGCTCTCAATTCCACTAGGCTGGTAGCTCTTTTTATTTGCTGTTTCATGAAGAGGTTTGAAAAGACTGGCATGGACCCTGGAGCACCCCTGACCATCAGGCTTTGGATGGTTAATTGATGGGAAAGGGGAAAGGGAGAAAGAGTCCCTCCCCTTCCTCCCCATTCATTGGCATCTGCTTCTGGGCTTCACCTTGAGAAAGGGTGATGTAGTGGAAAAAAGTCTAAGTTCAAAGTTGGCCTCCAGGGTTTGGGTCCCAGCTCAGGGCTTCGCAAACTTTGGGGTATTATATAAATAACATGCATTTTTTATTATTATTAATATTAACCATTGCCATAATCATTTTTATTACTATTATTGTGGTTTCTAGTTGTTTCCACTCTCTGGGCTTCAGTTTCCTGCTCAGTAAATGTGAAGGGTGAAACTGGATGACCTCTAAGCTCTGAATCCTGTAGGGCAGCTAGGTGGCACAGTGGATAGAGCCCTAGGCTTGGAGTCAGGAAGACCTGAGTTCAAATGGGGCTTCAGACATTTACCAGCTATGTGACCCTGGGCAAGTCACTTAACTCTCTTTGCCTCAGTTTCCTCATTAGTAAAATGGGGATAATAATGGCACCTACCTCCCAGAATTGTTGTGCGGATCAAGAAGTGCCTGGCCCATAGTAGGTGTTATGTAAATGTTAACTATTATTATTATTTCTCCTCTAGTCCCATCACATCCCTGGGTCAGTGCAGGAAGAAGCCAGGGGACCTAGGATGCTGAATCTTGGGTCCTCGGCCTAATGAGAAGTTGAGAAAAAGGCTCTGGTAAATAAGGAAAAACATGTGGTGAGAGAGCACTTAGAAGCCCACTCTTGTCTCTGCAGCCAAGCACACAGACAGTCCAGAAGATGCCAGGCTGGGGAGAGCCAGTCAGTGCTGGCAGCAGGGCATTCGTGTCCTTGTTTGAAATCATGGAGATTGCCCAGTCCTGGGCTCCTTTCATCCATTGGGAAGTATTAGCAGGGTTTGTGAGGCGCCAACCTTGGGTGGGCTTCAGAAGCTCCTCAGGTCCCACTTGGTTCTTCAAGCCCCTTTCATGGGATCAAAGATTCAAAGGTGCAAAGGTCCTCTAGAGAAACCAGTTTGTTTTTACAGATCAGGAAACTGAGGTCCAGGGAAGAGAAAATGACGTGGCTCTATATTTCAGGAAGACCTTTGGAAGTTGTGGCCAGTTCCCAATCTTGCCCTCTGGATTTCGGCTGGAGGCTGCCAAAGATTTCTCCTCCAATAACAATTTTTTTATAATTCTCTTTTGTTGAGCCTTTGAAATACCATTTCGACACGATTTTCATCTGATGCTATTGGCTTTTTCCTTCCTGTGGCTTTGCCAAGAGTTATGACATTTGGGCTGGGAGAAACAGCAGCCAGGTTTCAACTTATTGCAGCTGAGAGAGAGCCACACAGAGAGGGAAGGCTGAGAGGCAAGGGAGCCTGGCCAGGAGGCTGATTAAGCAAGTCGCCTGGGCCCTGGGAGGTCGGAGGGCAGGGCCAGACCTGGCTGTTTAACAACCTCCTTGTGCACTTGGCTTCCAAAAGGAGACTTTCACTGCAAATGAGAATTGAGAAGGAGAGAAGTGTAATTTTAAAAATACTCTGGAGCTTGGACTAACCAGAGTGATTTGCATTTTCCCGGGTTGGTTTTCCTGATTTTTTTTTTTTTTTAAAGAAGAAAAGGGGGTGGGGTAGGTAGAACCTGCTGCTGGCAGTTCCTTCTCCAGTTCCATCATCTGTGTGCTAATGAGTATCAGCCCCTGACCCAGAGCTGGGTGGTTTTGTCATTATTTCTGTAACCTGCTTTCATTTGCGGGGTTTTTTTCCCCTTTAAATGTTCCTTTTAACACTCCTCGAAGTCTCCGAGAACAAAAGTGAATGTTTGTATCCCAGGCCTCTGATGAAGGCGGCTTTCTCCCCTCTCCCCTTGTTTACCCATGGTCCACTCAGGCATGCTGGGGTTAGTGACTATAGATCCCCACATTCTCTCAGCTGGGGCTGGAGGAAATGAGTCCAGAGCTGAGCTGCCGGAGGGATTCTGGGGCATCAGCTGGGGGTTGAGGTGGCTGTGGAGGGAAAGGGAGATGTGCTCAACTCTTCAGGCATCCAGCAAGCATCAACATTCCCTGCCTCCAGCAAAAGCCATGAGCAGCCACTCTGCCCGATCCAAAGGTGAGCTTCAGGAGTGCTGGAAGAATAAATATACTTTCCTTATCCAGAGGTTAGATTTAAGAGTGAATTGATTCTACCAGGAGCTGAATATCCAACTCCAGTGAATGACTGGGTTTTAATCCTAGATCAGCCATTTATTCCTTGTATGGCCTTGGACAAGACATATCACCTGCCTCGGTTTCTTCATCTGAAAAGTGAAGGAGTTTGGACTAGGTGGCTTCTAAGGGCCCTTCCAGCTTTATTTATTTATTTTTTTGTTTATTTTTTTCTTTTTTGGTGAGGCAATCGGGGTTAAGTGACTTGCCCAAGGTCACACAGCTAGTACATGTCAAATGTTTGGTCTGAGGCCGGATTTGAGCTCAGGTCTTCCTGACTTCAGGGCCGGCGCTCTATCCACCCTTCCAGCTTTAAAGCTATGATCCTATGACATTCAGGGACAGAATCCAGGACTGAACACCCCCCCAATCCTGACATGAAGCCCTCGTGTTCTCTGTTCAAAAGTGGTACAGCTGATCCTTATTGCTCTTCCGTTCTCCGCCTCAGGCCTCCTTATGCCTGCATTTCTGTGGACAAAGCTGAAGAAATGACTGAATTCTTCAGAACTGTCGGGGTTAGAGAAAGGGCCACCTGGAACACCCAAGGGCTGCAACCTCCCACAGCCAGCCTTCCCAGAGCTGAGGTGCCTGCAGGTGCCCAGAGCTATTTTGGTCCCATCCTTTCTCAGCATTGTCACCAGGCATACAATGAAGGGAGATTTCCTGTACTTAGCTTGGGGAAAGTCGAGGGGGGAGTGCGGCTTGAAAATCAACATAGGTCATGGGAATGGAAGGCTTTGAGAGCCTACCAAGGGGCATATATCACAGGATTTAGAGCTGGAAAAGACCTCGGAGATCATTCAGTCCAACCTGCTCGCTTTACAGAGAAGGAAACTGAGACCCTTTGCCTAAGGTAGGGCTCATCAGTCTAGATCTGAACACAGAGAACATTAGATCTACAGCTGGAAAGGACCCCAGAGGCCAATCTAATCCCACCCCCTCATTTTATAGGTAAAGAAACTGAGGCCCAGGGAAGTTAACCAAACTTGCCCAAGGTCACAGAGGTAGTGAGCTACAGAAGGCCAGGTCCTGCTCTTCAGATCTGGTGTTCCTTCCACTGAGTTGAGTTGCCAAAGGCACCCATTTCCCAGGTACAGAGACTGTGGCCTCTGTCCCCCAGCTGCCTACACCCTGGTGTGCAAGTCTGATAGGACCTCTGTTGGTAGCCAGAGACCTAAACCTCCTTCAGGTGGGGAGAGAGAGAGAGAGAGAGAGAGAGAGAGAGACAGTGAATGAATGAAGATGAAGAGGCAGCAATGAATTTCCTTAGCCAAAAGAGGTGGAGGAAACCCTGCCAGGGCAGGGAGGGAGCAAGGATGATGAAAAAGAAACCATATTAGCATAAGCTCCAGAGGAGACCTCTGGCCCTGCCAAGTGTCTCATTCAGCTGTTAAGTCAAGACTGGAAGTGAAAGGCAAACCTAATTGGTGTTGTGTGTCTAGATGTCAGTTTCACCCTCGCCTCTTAGCTCTGGGGGTAAATAATAATTAGGGCTGGAAGGGAGCTCTTTCTCATAGCAGCCCAAGAACCTTTACCTAAAGGAGAAATGAGGCACGTGGCATGAAAACTCAGATTCTGTTTCCCCTTTCTCCTCTCTCTCGGGTCCCCCTCCTCAATTCCCTGCAGGTGATTTGGTCTCCCGGGCTATGCATCACATGCAGTGCCACCATCCTCTGTGCCCAGGCACCAGCCCAGCCCGCCAGGCCCGCCAGCCACAGCAGCCCATCACCTGGTCTCCCGATGCCCTCCACACGCTCTACTATTTCCTGCGCTGCCCCCAGATGGAGTCCATGGAGAACCCCAACCTGGACCCACCAAGAATGACCCTGAACAACGAACGGTAGGAATGCTGGCGAGGAATGGGCACGGGGGAGGCGTAGGGTGTGAGGGTCGTGCACATGGCACTCAAGGGGATGCCTGTTGGCGGACTGAGCTGGGTAAGGGGCCAGAGCCTTCCCGCAAAGTGTATGTGTGCCCAGGCAGGGGCTAAAATTGACGGTCCAAGATGGCTCAGGGCCCAGCCAGGATGGGTAGCTAAATTTCCAGAATCATAGAATGCTAGAGCTGGAAGGGGGTTGGAGATTATCTCCTCATTTACTAGAAAGAGAGGAAACAGAGGCACAGAGTGGTCCATCGTTGCTCAGGGGCTTAGGTGGCAAAATCAGAACTAGAACCCAACTCTCCTCTCTTCCAGTGCTCAGTTCTTTGCCTTACTCAAGCATACGACGATGGGTCAGTTACAGGCCTTAAGAGCCAGATTCATGGGAAATTCAAAGAATCAGAGCACTCTCTATTAGCAAAGTCTTTTCTTGTTGTATATCCTACCCCACCCCCATTTATGTGACCAAGGCCTGGTTGCTGACGGACGGGGTCCAGCCTGGAAGTGGGAAGTGATGAGCGGAGAGGCTGCTCTTTGATATAGATGGCATCATAAAACCAGAGGATTTATAGCTAGGAAACATCTTCAAGATCTCCTAATAACTAGAGGAAACGCTCCATTTCAGTTAGAGATTAGTGAAAATAAAGTAATTTTTTTTTGTAGCATCTAGTTCACAGACTGCTCCCTGCCTGAAATCTGATCCACAGATCCCTTAGGGACCCCAAGTTAAGAACCTGTGTCTTATAGACTGGGCTTAGTCCTTGAAATAGATTGGGGTGTGTATGTATGGTTTTACGTATGAGTTTGAAAATATACATACGTATATGTATACATACACACACACACACCACCCTGTATGTTGCACAAACACATTTGCAAGCAAGGTATTTTCTGTGAGTTGTCAAATGACAGGCACATGGGAAATTAAAATGTTTAAAAAGAATGAACAGTTTACGTATATTTTGGCCCTAAAATGAGGGCACCTAGAAATCTCCAGGTGAGCAAGCTGTCTTCTGGTTGCCTTGAGGAGTCCTTCTCCCTCCCCCGTTTACTAGCCAGCACTGTCTGTAGGGGCAATCTCTCAATATGGTAAAGAAGGTTCTTTTTTTACTGGGTGACTAACTCCCCAACCCCCAGTCAAAGCATTGAACCTTAAGGTTTCAGTCACAGCCAAAAGCCATGTGGGGAAACCCCAGCCCTCTTGGCTCTAGAAAGAAAATGGGATGATTCTTTGACTCAGGGGAAAGGGTACAGAGCCAGGACCTCTCCTAAGTCCCTCTTGCTTGAGAAGGGTTGAGGCAATCCCAATGGGGATCTGAGGCTGTGGTTCCAGATATTTGCTGGTGGAACAGACGTCTAGACCACTAATCGCTCCCATTTAAGGGAAGAGATCTGTTTTGTCCTCTGCCCCCATCATCATTACCATCAACCCATTTCACTGAACCTGTGTGGGCTATATAGCACAGCCTGAATAACTGTGAAAACACACACTGCCTGAAACTCTGATCACTCATTTCCTGTTTTGAGGAACACCCCCACACACACATGCACACATGACACAGTGTCCCCACAGCACAGCGTATACAAACACAGAGTGGGGTGTGTGTGTGTGTGTGTGTGTGTGTGTGTGTGTGTGTGTGTGTGTGTGACTTAGTATCTGGGAAGTGTGAGGATGCTCACTCATCTTCTATGTCATGACTAAGACCTATCCATTTCTAAGCTCTCTGGTTTTTACCCCGACCATCTCTCTAAATCCACTCTTCCGCACCAGACCTGCCCCTTCCCATCCACTGTCCACCAAAGACCCCAGTAAGAGATGGCGGCTAGTGAGTGAGGCGCTTTCTCTACAGCCTCTGCAGAAAGTGGGGCAGCCCTCAGACTACAGCTTGCCCAATGAGGCGAACCTCTTCTAGACTGATAGCAGCAGCTTAAGGGGCCTCCCAGTTGGTCTGGTTTGAAGACAAGTTCTGTGGCCTGTGGAGAAGAATGAAGCCAGTGCTGAACACAGAGCTCCGGGCTCTGAGCTTCCCAGGGCTTGGGCCCGTGGCAAAGAACTGACCATTAGTGATTGCTATAAGAGCAAGAAGCTGGGTGCATCCTGGGTCCCCTCCCTTTGGACGTTCCAACTCCACCTGGGCCGTGACTCCCTACTGCACCAGGGAAAGTGGAGAATACAGATAACTTCCCATCGCCCACACAGGATGCTTTTGGGTTGTTGACTTCTCTTATTGAGCATAATCAAAAACCTAGGCGTGGTCACAGCCCCTGCCCTACAGGTACATAGTCTCTCTAGTAAAACAGAAAGAAGGCTGGCAGGTGGAGTGGGGCTTGGGGGAGAGGACCTTTCTGCCTGGGAGCCACAGAGTATGAAGAAAGAGGACAATACTGCAGGAAATGATCTTTTCCAGAAGCCTTAAGGAAGAGAGCAGAAGCCCACCTCTCAGCTGTGGGAGAGGCATGGTCCTGCCTGGAGGCATGGGGCTCCAGGGACCTTGCAGGGTTCTAGCCAGGCCCCGGTTTCACTTAGATGCTCGGGCCTGGCAAGAGTGAGCACTCTTGGAGTACAGCTCTAAGTGACCATAATAATCTAGAAGCCTGAGAGACCTCAGAAGGAAGGTTGGGGGAGGCTCATGAAGAGCGTGAGTCTGGAGAAGCATTTTAACAAATTGAGCAGTGATTTATTATATACATCGATATCTTACGAACGTCGAACCTGCAAGGGTAGAGTCAGATGTGAGAGGAGGTGGATCTGGGGCTTTTTCAGTAGGAGGGAGATATGGGGCCTAGCTTAAACCAGGACCTTCTGACACTGGATCAAGGAGAAGAAAAAGGAAAACTATGAGAGCTTGGTGATTTCCTAGTCGCTGCTCATGGTGACCCTTCCATTTCTGAGCACAAACACTGATTTCCTTTACTCCATAGAGGATATGTCATCTCAGGTTCCAAATAGCCTTACCTCTTCCCTGCCCTGGAAACCATCCCTTGTATCGGTGAATTAAAAAAAGAAAGAAGCAGTTTAGCAAAGTTAACCAATGCATGAACCGAGTCTGACCATGTATACAATGCCACAAGCATCTATTATGCACCTACTGTGTTCTGCTATGGAGACACAAAGACAAAACAGTCCCTGCTCTCAAGGAGTTTACATCCTCCTAAGGAAAGGAGGGGGATTTCTTGCTATTGAAATAGTAGGAAGCCGACCAGCCCACGAGCCACACTGAGGGAAAGAGGTCAGTGCAGGGGCAGAGCCTGGATCGGAGAGACCTATGATCTCTCACTATTTTCCACTCCCCCGTCCTCTCTCTCATCATGGTGATGGGCAAAACTACCCAGCGCTGAGACAGTGAGTAAACAGATTCTCGTCCTCTCGGATCCTCATGTGCCTGCGGGCTCAGACCTCACCAGGTGTCATTCCAGAGGGCCTCTGTCATAGTCTCAAGCAGAGAAGCCTCAGCTTTGTGGAGTAGCTGCACCCCTTGGGCTTCCCTGGGATTGGGTGGCAGCCTGGCAGCTGCCACCATTCAAGAACCCATCAGGGTGGTTGTTTCTCAGGCTCTGCCCCCACCCCCCAACACCCCCCATCCATCCCAGAGTCACTCCCCGCATCAGACCTGCCGGGGAGCTCGCACAGTGTGGAGTCAGATGTGACGGGAGGCGGATCTGGGAATTTTTCATTAGGAGGGAAATATAGGGCCTAGTTAAATCAAGACCTGACTTTGGATTAAGGAGAAGAAGGAAAATAAGAGAGCTTGACAATTTCTTAGTCAGTACTCATGGTGATCCCTGCATTTCCATGTACAAGCACTGATTTCTCTTGCTCCATAGAGGACGCTAGGCTCATACACTTCTGTAGTATGAAATTCCAGTAGGTCTAATAGGGTCTTAGATTTAGAGCTAGAAGGGGCCTCAGATGCCGTCTTGTTTTACAGATGGGGAAACTGAGTCCCAGAGGGGAGAAGTGACCCATGAGCATAGATTGGAGCTGGAAGGGGCCTCAGATGCCATCTTGTTTTACAGATGAGGAAACTGAGGTTGGCCCGCATGGCCTCCAAGGTCCCTACTCGCTCTTGTGCTAGGATCCTAAGTGACTTCACCTTCCTGGGCCTCAGTGCCCTCATCTGTCAAATCAGGGGATTGGACCAAATGACCTCTAGGGTTCCTTCTTCCAGTTCTGACTGATGAAACTGAGTGATCTGAGCCTCCTGGCTAGAGGCCCCCAAGTACTTGAGGCCCCCGGCCTCATCAGTCGGTGCTCCAGCTGCGGGAGCCGAGAACAGGGCTTACACAGGAGATGAGGCCGCTTTATTGAGCTGCCCTCGGCCCAGCTCTGGGACCAGGGCATCCTCCCCCCAGCAGGGTGGCGTGGCAGCTTTTGTGGTTTGTGTGTTCTATCTCCCCTAATCCCTATGCTTCCAGTTCCCTTTCTCCCAGCCCTTTATCTGAGAGGGGGAGAAGGCAGTGAGGTGCTGCTGGGGAATTTCCTGAGAGGAGCCCAGGCCCGAGGTTCCGGCTGCACCTACCCCTTCATTCCCTGCTCCCCACACCTCCTCCTAGTCTCTGCCTGCCTGGGAACAGGGAAGGCTGGCTGGCGCATTTCCACCAGACAAGTTCAGGCTGGGTACTCCCTTGAGAACTATTCTTAGTAATCAGGGCCTCCCAAACCACACCGAGGGCAACTGTTAGCGCCAGCTCAGGAAGGAGGCCTCCTTCAGCCGGGGTGAGACAGGGGCTATCCTGGCCTGGCCATCTGGCAAAGAGGTGAACTTTCCCTTGGGCTGGCAGATTCCTGGGCATTCGATTGCATTCGAGAGCATTTATTAATCGCCTCCTTTGTGCCAGGCACCGTGCTGGGCTCTGGGCCTATAAACACAATAATGAGACAGTCTCTGTGTTCAAAGGACTCACAATTATACTATTCTCTCAGGGAAGGACCACATGTAAGCAGTTAAGTAAATGCGAAA